AGAATCTAAATCATCTTTCCCCTACATGTACTTTGATCAGTGCAATAATTGAAGGTTGTCATAAAAATCCACTTCTACCTTTTTATACACACCTACAGTGGAAAGACTGAGGAAAAAGTCTGATCCAAGCACACAGCACAAAAACAATTCCGAAGTTACAAAGCCTTAAATGTCCACTAAACAGTCAAAGAACACAAAGCAATACTTACTTGGGCTTTCAAAGACAAACGACACTGTATCACCAGAATCTTCAGCTCTGATTGTGATGCTGTCATCATTGCTTGCACATTTAAGAATTTTTGACAGTGTACTGGTGTCCATGCCGAGAGTAATGTTCCTATCACACCTGTAAGGCTCAAAGCCATCAGCACTCATTGACAGTGACACTAAACTGACGTGACTACTATCCATGGCTTGCACAGTTAAACCATTACTTCCGCAATCCCAGTTAGCATTAGGCACCAAGTCTTTGATGGCTTCAAGAACCTTTTTGAGTACATTTCCTTGTGGAAGTCTTGCTTCAAACATTTTGAGAATAGAAGTGAACGTGTGGCAGATCAAATTGAGGAACAGTCTGAAATAAAGCAGTTTGTGCACTTAATAAAAGGTATACTATAATAAATAGGTAATAGATTACATGCAATTAAACCCATACTACTTCATTTTCCCAAGGTTTAATTGCAGTACCTTGTTCTTGAATCATTTATTTATCTCTTAACTCCTTTATCTTCCAAAACTTAGAATTTGTACCCTTTCAAGAGAGGTTGTTTTGAATTTTGTGCAAAATGACACATTGTGGAGATTAGTGCCTGTGTTTTGGAGGAAATGGATATGCTGTATTTACTTTAAATTTTCTTTCTGATAATTCTTGTCTTCAGATTTCTGTTAACCACCAAAGTTTGTGAAAGAAAAAAAGTCCTGTGAAAATATTACTCTTTTACTTGTACAATATCAGGCAACGAATTGTTACAAATATTACTTTAAGTTTCACGTAGCTACATGACTGAAGTACGAACTTTACTGACTTAACTTGACTGAAGTATTAACTTAAAGTTAGGTGTACGTTTATGGAAACTATCTTAAGGAGAATGTTGAGATTCAAGTCGAGGGTAACTACATGAAAGTCTTGCTCTCGATCGAGCCTGCTGCGACAACATTTGACAGTAAAATATTGCGAACAAGCAAAAATGATGGAGCAGAAAGAATCGATCGCTGAAAAATTAACTGACTTTACGATTGAACTTGATGGTAGAAGTATCTTCGAGGTCTCGCGAAGTTCATATGAAATGGCGGGAAAGCCAACAATTCATTCCCGCGCTAAATGCTCAGTACTCTATAATGTTGAACGAACACAACTTATTTAAGATCTTGGGGAGCCTAAGATTACAGTTTTCATAATGTCATCAGGATTTGATCCCTTGTGACGCTAAAAGCGAACGTTTCAGGCAAAAATATCGAAATCTTCTATCGACTCGTGAAGAAGCACGCTCTTATATATAGCATTGGATCATTGGAGCTTTTCGAATAATTTCGTTCAAATTTCCCACCAAATGAACATATGTCATCTTATTTCGTCTTCCTTACACTTCAAAACAATGCGAGATTCGAAAATTTGAACGATCGCAGCAAATAATCGAAAGTGAAGCGACGATTTCTTCGTGCAGAACCAAAATGGCCGCACGGAGCAGACATCACAACCTTCGAACTCAAGGCCTAATTGAATCAAATTTGAACTTAGATCGATCGCTTATTGCAAAATAATTGAAGAGTATCTTAAAGGAACTGATTCCGAGACGTCTTATTGCAATATTTCTTAAAATCTGGAGTCGAAGAGCACAAATTTCAACCACACAAGGAACTTACCTTAACACTCGACGAAGGAAGACGAATTATGAATTACGCGCCAAGATTCAAGAGGATAAAAAGTGCGGGAAATTCAGTTAACAACTGCTGATTGGCTAAGCTGTCCACGTGATCTGTCACGAGGTGTTTTTAGCGGGAAGTACCAAGTCGGCAAAGAATAACGGGAAGTCGGGCAAGTTCAAACTTGC